AACAACTGAGTTACGAAGCCACATTTTGGAAGCTCCGCAAACCCGCCGGGTTCTTCGTTCCCCTAAAAGAATGTGATCATGAGTTTAATAAAATAAATCATATTTAGATTTGGGAGTGAAATTCAAGTGAAGAAATCATCCTCGCAGGCAAGCTACAATTTTTATATGTCATTAAGCGAGGCGTCGTTGCTCATTTCGTGGCCACGTAACGCCCAACTGGTATTTGGAAGGCACGGGTTTGAATCCTGTTGAAGTCCGAATAATTTTTCAGGCTTCTTTACTGCATCTGCTTAAATTACAGCGCACCTGAGACGATTGTATCTTCTCTCAGTTGCATTTCACCCGCGGGTCATCATATGATTTACTTTATGAAAATTGCGTTCGTTATGCATGGTCACCTGTAGATTGTTCGTGGGCTGACTTTTCGTACGTTATTCACCGTTTTGTTTTAAGTTGTGCGGATTATTTTTGCTGAAGAAATAATCACGAAATTCATTGACGAACGTTAGAAGAAGAACCGCAAAAATACATTTATCTTAACCTCAGCTGATCTCAAACGTTGCGCTTAAATAAGGGAGAATGCCATGTTTAAACAAAAATTCTGCGAACAAAGAAGAAACAAGTTAGTTTATGAAATAGAGGGCTAACTGACCGGAAACGTCAATGAAAAAAAGAAAGGTCTCAAAGAGAAAACGCAACCATGTGATCTTATGGCGCAGGAAAGATAAATATGATTAAATGTTAATTTGCCAATTTGGGTATATTTGTCAATTTGCTAATTTGGGCATATGTCATTTGAGATTTGAAACAATAGACGGTCATCAAAGTAAGCAGAGCGAAAGTAGAATGTGTGGAACATTTCATTATTTTACTCCATAACTCATCATACTTTCGCAATGAGACACAGAAAGATTCTATTTGTGTTCATTTTTCTGGTAGCTACGATTTGTCTTCTGATGATGTCCTTAATACAGACTGATTCCAAGCTCACACTTTCCCCTACAAATAAGTGTGTTGTGATTGTCGATCGCGAAGACATTGTGTATCCGTACTATGGTAATCGGTTTGGAAAACACTGTCTTGTTGCACTGGATTGGGGAGAAATGTGCCCTGAGTTGTACACAGAATTGGGAGGAAAATGTAACTTGATCGACGGTACAATTCAATGTCCTGATATTCGAAACCACGCAAAATTTCGCAACCGACAGGCGCAACTCGTCATGACCAGAATGCTACGTATTTTTGACCTCATAGCGCAGAAACACAACATTGACTACTGGATATTTGGCGGGACTTTACTTGGTGCTGCAAGACATCATGGATTTATTCCGTGGGACTACGACATAGATATTGAAATGCCTTTGGAAGAATATGTGAAATTTTTCCAGGTCGCAGCAAAGGATTTACCGCCAGATATTTTCTTTCAGAACTCTATAAGTGATCCAGCGTTGAATCCGGATGACCCAAGCGGTTACTACAAGCATGAAATAGTTGGTATCTACGAAGCAACTTGGAACCCAAGATTACGAGATAGATATAGTTGCTATAAATTCTGTATGTCCTACGGATGTACTTGGCATGATGGGCTCATGATTGACATGTTCGTGTCGCCTCACATGAACAGATCTGCCGTCCCGCGTAGACGAATAAGTTTCGAAGGTTTCACCTTTCCTGTGCAAAATGACTGGGAGGAATATTTAATAGAAAATTTTGGCGAGAAGTACTTTGAAGTTCCAATCGATCAAGAACCGAAAGAAAGTCCAGACGTGTTCCATGGATGCGAGGAACTCAAAGGAAGTTCTTAGAAGATCTCGCGATAGCGTGATTTCCTGGAGTGACTTGCAGAGATGTAACACGAAACATACTCCATTAAGAAAAATAAAAAGCTGTATCAATTTCCACTCGCGCTTTTTTAATCATTGCAAAATTTTAAAATCTATGAAATTAAAAAAAATAAAGAACTGAAAGAAAATAAAAAGAAACAAGGTCTCAATAAACAATAATCGCAGAATAGTTCTGTTTGTTTACTCAGTTATCCTCTCTTTGTTTCAATATGTTTCAATGTCCTCTTTGGTTTTTTAGTGATGTTTGTCTTTTTTGTTGTTCTTCAGTCTTTGTATCAGCATTTGCTGCGAAGCAACCTTCGTTTTCTTTAGTATAAAATTATTTTACTTTACGGTTCGATTTAGAATGGATCTTTATGACCCTTTATTACTCTCACTGAGGCTGTTGAGGTTTCATGGTTTTGATGTTTTCTGTATACCCCTCGCCTGGAAGAAGTACTGTAGTCCCTTCGTCGGTTTTAGAAGGACCTTTATCTAGTTTTCTTCTTATTACACTCGCTAACTGTTTCTTAGCGTAATTGGAAATTATTCAGCCAAAAATAATCGTTTATTTAAAAAGGAAAATAGCCAAATTATGAAATCAACCGCGATTAAAGATGTTATGGCCGTGTTAGGACAGTCATGACAAGTCCACACGCTTCTTACCTTCGCCCATCGCCAGTTAGACATAATTACTAAGAAGGCCAAGTTTACTGACGTACAGCAGTGGATAAGCTAGGGCAGCTGGCTAGTGACTCCACTATTTGGTGAGGCTATGTGGTGGACTTTTTTTCTTTTTCAGATTTTAGATTTGATCGAGATATCATCCATCAAGAGGCCCTTTATTTCCAGAGACCAACTCAGGGATCTGATTTCTTCACGTAGACTGGTAAGTATATTTTAATCAATAATTTTCTTTTAATTTTATGTGAAATTTGTTTGTTCTTCGTATTTCTCCGAGCTCGTTAACCTTTTTAGTGAAATGATTTCTTCTGATCATGTTTTCGCTGGGACAGCCTCGAGCTTGTGTGGAAAATCCAGAATTCTTTGCTGTTGCTTGGGGTATTTTAAGGTGAGTCATCACCGCACAGGTTCTGCTTTGTTATCGCCGTAAGCTTTAATTTACAAAAGTAACATTGTTAGAGCATCAGGAGCCTTAGGTTGAGTGTTGCCGGTCAGAATCAAATAAATATTACAAGATTTTTCTGAGGACGCGAATTAAATAACTGCAAACGCCCGAAACATTGTTTTTTCGATGGTCAATTGAAAGTTGCAGTAATCATCAATAAACGAAGTAGACTGGGGCCATCCGAAGTTGGTCCGAATCGTTTAATTTTCGAATGGTTTAGTACGATTACGAAATATTACATCCAATATTACGGACGCTTTTGTCAAATTTTGTAGGGAACGGTTATTGAGAGAGACGAGCGGGACCTGTCTGAAATATGACGGATTCGAATGAAAGTAAATGGTTCTAAGTCGAACGTAATCTTGCAGACGAGGAAAGAACCGCCTTTGCTTCTTCAATTTCTTTTCTGAAGTTTATTATACTCAGTTTTGCAAAATAACTCGACAGTTCCTCTTTCGACAAGACTTACGTTTTCCTTTCCTTACGTTCTCTACACATTATTTAGTTCATTTCTTGCTCGCTCTGGAGGAAGCGCACAAGTAGCAAAGCTGTTGTCAGTATTTGGACAAATATGTGTCGAGGGATGTAAAGAGGGCCGCCAGCAGGTGCGTGACGAAATCAAACAGGCCGGGCGCACACGCGTACGTACGTACGTACATACTATGCACTGAATGATGTGTTCGTGCAAATAAATACATTTCTTCTAAATCCGCATCCTGTTAGATTTCCCGGCGAAAAAAGGTGAAAAATGTCACAGCACTAGATCTATGCCGTGCTGATGTTTTAAAAGAAGTCCACAACTATGTCAACTCTATGAAAGAGATTCCGTCTCAGTTCATGCAGAGGTTACCGACGACTCTGGTTTTCGTTTTTTTAATTTTTTAACGAAGTTTAATTTGAAAGTTCAACTTCGTTATTCCACCTGACTTTTCTCTTTCTAGGTTCTCTCGACATTTTCAGAAATCTTTCCCGACTTTTGTCAGCCGCTTGTGCGGAAACTGGCTTTCCGCCCGCGCGGTGAGTATAAAGTCCTTTATTTAGCCCTTTTATTCCCAGGAGTGACCAAGACATAATTTCTCCCTCCACTTTCAACATCATATCAAGTACACAAGTGATGAGAATACAGAAAAATATCAAAGGAGGGGATTATTTTTAATCCAATGCCAAATTCTCAGAGCTAAAATTACGGCAAATGTAAAGCCGGCAATGAGGAGAATTCCTAATTGAAATTCTGGGATTGGAAGGGCTAAAGCGTACTTTTGTAACCATGAAAGAAAAATCCACAGAAATTATAATATTAAGAAAAAAAAATAATTGATGGTCTCTTACCGAAAAGTTTTAACCCCCTCCCAACTTAACCCCAGCCCCAAGTCTTCAACAACGTTTGAATCACAGTGAAGCTAAGCACCTTACACAACCTGGTTTCTCTTGAGAATTTTAAGGGGCGTCAGATTCGCATACACAACGAATATTGTGGTTCACTCTTTCAGAGAATGATATGTAAATCGAATCACTCAAGCCTAGTTATTCAGCTGTGTCCTGTGTTTACTTTAGATGCAGCAGATGAGGAATCTGTCCTGACGAATTTGCAAAATATTCATCTCGATCTGGAAGAACTAACACGGAAATTATCACCAAGGTGTGTAGACATTTGTGGTCTTGCCATTAGTATCATTTGATTATTTGCCATTGCTTGATAGAACACAACACAAACAAAATCCCTGATATTGTCAGAATATTTTGAAGTAACCTTTAAAGTTACTTTTTGTAATACAGAGGGTTTGTTTCTCAAAAGTCCCGGTATCTTTACTTGGGCCTAAAGCTTTGTTTGAAAATCTTTGTCTATAGAATATGATGTTTGGTGAACATCCTCTGGAAAAACAATTTGTTTTGAAGGAGTTACGTTTGAACTGTGGCGTGGTGAATTACCTTCACCTTGATGGATATTACAAAATAGCAGCTAATTTTTTTTCATTTCAAATTTTATTCGGTTTATTTATATTCGGTTCTTCGTTTTCAGGCTTCTTACATGCATATTTTTCAACAATATTCAAACTAACTGTCTATGAAAAGAGCATAGCGCCCTTTCTTCGTCCTGTTTATTTCATTTTCATCAACCTACATGCTCTCTCTTCGATTATTTTTCTAAGAAGACGCCAAGACGCCTATTGATTTTAGATAAAGTAATTAATATAAAGAGTTGGCCCAGTGGATTTAAAAGATTAAGTTGCTTAGCCTCTGAGTGGCTATCACTGAAAGACTTCGGCTTTTGTAATCAGGTGTATGTGTCAACCAAAACACGGTCATTTTCGTCTATAAACAACTTAATAGGAGAAGGAAAATCTATTTAAAGTTTCTGACACTTCGGTTTGAGGATTATGATACCAAGTTGACCATGAGCTCGTTATTCAATCTATGGGAAATTTGTGGTATACATTATTTAAACATATCCACTCGTTCCATCAGTAGTTAAAAACATGATAGATTCCTGCGAATTGTTATCGCGATTACTTTATCTCCTAAAAATGGATATCTTGATCTTGAATTTGTAGAATCTTGCAAAGGCAAGTCAGGGAGACTCGTCTCTTATATTCAAGTCATATTCGCATATCCGGTCGACTATTTTTTCCAAATACACAGTGATTGTTTACATTATTTGAGACTACGATTCAGCATTTGATTGGAGGCGGAGACGTGATAGTGATCCAAATGCAAACGATCATCATGTGCAGCTTAAATAAATCAGCATTAAAATTTCTGCTCTTATTAACGAGGGCGTGATCTTAACAGCTATATCACCACAGCCATAAAAGGTTTGAATACTGCATGCAAATTTCGTTGGATAATTTTTCAAGATATGTGGGAAACCTTTAACTTTGCAAGTTGAGTACTCGAGTGTCTGTTATCAGTTGACCCCTCGTGTACAGAGATCAAGTTTAAAAAGCAGAAACCAGATCGTTGTAGTCGTTCTCCATTAGAGATGTCTCCATCAAGCGCGGAACAATCAAAGGAAACATGAACGAGAGTAGTTTGACTTCAACAGCTGATGCTTGGAGTGACCTGACCACGCCAACTATGAAATGGGTTTTTCGGGGCCTTTTCTCAACAATCCTATTTCTTGGTTTGGTTGGAAATGGCGCAGTATGCTCAGCCATCGTTCTAAAGCAGCGATTGCGAACGACGGCGAATATGTTGGTGTTAAACCTTGCTGCGGCTGATTTCGTATTTGTGGCGCTTTACGCCCCGACACAACTCTCCTTTTTCGAGAACAACTACAGCTGGGAGATGGGTGACGGTGTTTGTAAGCTCACATACACAGTCTTACCAGCATGCCTTTGCGCTACTGTGGAAACTCTTTTATGTATTGCGGTGATACGTTACAAAGCTGTGGCGAGTCCGTTTCGTTTGCGCGTCGGAATGACTTATAAAACAACAGCAGTGGTGATATCTGTCATATGGCTGACCTCTTTGTTAACAGGCCTACCAGTTCTTCTTTTGGCGAAGACTGTACAGTACCAAGACAGGGTATTCTGTGACGAAATCTGGCCAGTTGGCAAGCCTTACCGTGAAGTTTACTGGGTTTTTATATTTCTTATCCAGTACGCCATTCCATTGTTGGCTGTCATTCTTTTATCCATTGCTACAATCGTAAAAGTGAAACAGAGTCGCGCTCGTGTAATACCAAGTGCTCCGTCCATCAACAACGAAGCAAATTCAGTTTCCCATGTCTTACAAGCTAGCGTGAGGCAAAGGCAAAGGAGAGAGATCAACATGTCAAAGATGTTGACAGGTTTGGTCATCCTGTACGCAATCTGCATGCTTCCTCAGCACGTTGTGTTTTTCTGGCTTACGTACGGCAACTTGAAACAGCAGGAGTACTCGCTATACATTTTCACTATCGCTAATATGTTTCCGATCGCTAACAGTGCGTTAAACCCTCTTATATACGGCAGTTTACATAAAGAGTTGAAAAGTGGCTTTAAAAACTGCATTAAGTGTTCATAATTGAAGAGTTCTTGTCAAACGCCGAGGGATTTTTTCAGAGCTCTCAATCTATATAGGAGCTTTACCTTATCAGAATTAACAGCATTAATCGTATTCATGTCAAGTGGTGCTTAGGTCTCAAAACGATTATGCAGTCAATTTTTTTCCAGTACTCTTGACTTCAAACAAAGGGAAAAGCCTTCCGTACTTTTCTTCAGGAAAAACTTAAAGCATCGCAGAAGTAGAATTTTCCAATTTTAAGTAAGCATTTAAAAAAACTGCGTCAGAAAATTTTTTTCACCCCTATGTACTTCGCTATTGAGTGACTGTTTGCAGCCTGGGAACCGAACATCCTGTTCACATTGTAAAGTACATAAAATGTAATGTTAAATGTCAAATCGAAAGTCATTATGCCAAGTTTTCTGTAAGGATTCTACGTTGCGGACAATGAGAAAAGAAAATCATTTATTTGTTTTGCTCGACCCCATTCTATAGCCAAGAGTTAAATCGGTTGACTGCATTTCCAATATTATCTTAAAACCTTAAAATTGATAAAAAATGAATGCAATAGGATGGCCGCTAAGTAGCCGTAAATTAAGAAAGAAATGGTGATTATGGCAAAGGTTTTAATCAAGGTTTTTAAAAATTCAAAATATAACCAGAAAGAGAACGCGAAAAGTTGAGCTAAGGTCGCCAAAGGGGGTCAACACAATGAAAGTGCAATGCCAGTTCTCATGTCAAACGGTGTAAGTCTTCTCTTCCTTTAGTGTTAATAATGCCTACGTTAAAATTCGTAAGATGACTGAATTGAATTATCTTAAAACATGAACAACCTTACTGAAGTCAGTGTTGGACTGAAACAAACAAATGACAATGAACGTCTGCAATGAACCTCGCGATCCTAGCACCCTGACCAATAAAGATTAAATATGAAAGATTAACGTTGTTCGATTAAAAAAAGTTAAAGATGAAATAAATAATCTGACAGTCAAAAGAGTAAAGGAGTTAAGTTTCTGAAGAAACTGTGGCGCAACGTCGGTGGTGGATATTGCAAGAGAATATGGTTTTATCAACTGAGTTGATAATGTAAATTGGCCCTCGTACAGAGCTTCTAAAGCTGACGTCTCGAATGCTAACATGTCGTCAGAGCGAGAGTCAAAAGGTAGTTTTTTTTACAGTCAAAAGGAAGCTTGTCTTTTTTTTACCTTTTTTTTTTTTTTTTTTTTTTTTTTTCACTGAAGAGAACAGTAATAACTATCCAAACCCCGCTATAAATTTCGTTTCAAGATTTAAATTTATCGCTTAAAATGTATATTCAATGAAAACACTTTCATTTTTGGGAAAACGAAAAAACATTAGTATTTCCCATAAATTATAACTGGTGACGGAAGCAAAAAGAGCTGTCAGAAGTGAAATGAATGAAAAGTCCGTGGGTTCAAATTGGGAGATTATTTTATCATCGTGAGAAACACGCCAACATTAATTTAAGTAAAATTTTATTTCTAGTTGCTTGAATCAGCCCCATCTGAACAATGAAAGGGGGAACGGCGCTCTCAGCTTTGAAGTTGTAATCTTCGTCTCTCCTTTTAAATTCATACTTTCCCACGAAATGAGACCTTGGTTATCGGGCTTCTAGGTGTTTGTCTTCCTTAATTACGAAGGAACGATCCAGTGCAATCTTTGTAAGTGATATGTTTTGGTAATTAAAAAAATTGAAGTCGATGCGAGGAGCATTCGTTTGATAAAAGCCTTATATAATGGTAAGTGTAAAGAAAAAATTGGAATCAAAACTTTTCGATGCTTGGCTTCCTTACGTTAAGTGACCACTGAGGAATTTTTGTGTTATTCATTATTGCTATTAATATTGGTAATAGGACTGAATGTAGTCCAATTCAGCCAGTAATCATACGAGTGATTAACAAAATCGGACAACCGCGAAGCGGAAGTCCGATTTGTCAATCACGAGTATGATTACATACAGAGTTATCTACACGAAGTCGTCAGTGTTGCCAATTAATCAAAACTAGACATCGGTTATACGTTTTCTTAGGACAAAAAAAAACAACAACATTGAACTCGGCGAAATGCGCGACAACAGTGTGCACACATGACGCGCACTGTCCATATTTCTTTACTTCATATTTATTACTTTGATGAGAGATTTCGTCTCTCGAGTCCATTTAAGAGGTGAAAATAACATTTTAACCATCAGTAGGAGTCACTCGCGACAAAATCTATTTTTTGGTTCCAAAAAAAAAGAAGAATGAAAAAAGAATAACGTCCTTTTATAACGGGCTCGTTTGATACATAGGGGGGTTCCTTTGGTCAAACGTTTGTTTAGGTAATGTACGCCCGGGTGCAAACTCGTGTTACTCTTGGAGAGCAGCGATTCTATCAATAAATCCACTGTTATAGCAAAGTATGTGATGTGAGTTAAATACTCTATTTTTGTATTTTCAGTGAGTTGTTCAATGTCTGGAAAATACTTTGGTGTTTTCCCTCGTGGGAAAGAGAAGCACTGCGAAAGCTGCTTTTGAGATCGAGTAAAGAGGAGGTAAGATATTATGTTCATCTAAGTATGTGTGTGTTGGGAAGAAAAAACAAAACGATTTTTTCTCGTTGGACAGATGTTGAATTGTTGTGTCAACATTTTTTGCTGGTTTCATGTTCCACCTTTGTTGGACAAGCATTCTTCGTTAAAGGTAAGCAAAGGAAATCGTGTCAGAGTAATATACTTGTTGTTAATTTATTGTACTTAAAATGGTCACAATATGTAGACAAATGTAAGGATTTAAAAGAACGCAAAGTACCTTTTTCCTATATGTGTCTAATAGGGGACGGCGGAGCAGGTAAAGTAGAGTTAATTCAACCTTTTTATGCAGCCCAGATCACGTGAAGGGCACCGCACTGCCACATGTTGCTCGACCACCTAATTAACTTTTTGTCCCCCTCCCCCCCATTTTTCTCAAAATCCCCATTGAAATTCAATGAGTGATACCGTCATTTAAAGAGGAGGACTATTGTCTAACAATTATTCACGCAGCTAAACTCTTTTTTTTTTTTTTTTTTTTTTTTTCCAGCGTCACACTTAGTATTTCAGGGCTTCTTTAGCTTGTCTTTTTTTTCAGGAAGCTGTAAGAGAAATTGTTTATCCTATGCGTCTACTCAAATCAAAGACCAGGCTTCAGTTTGCAGATATTCTGTATACTTTGTCAACATGCCCTGTATTACGTGCCTCGGAGGCGTCCATTTTGTTGAGTAGGCTGTTATTGGTCTTCCTATGTGATGCGTTGGGTGGCCATTTAGTGTTTACTGAGGTAGTAAAATTGGTAAGTGGGTCATAGTCTTGATACTTAAAAACTTCAGTCGTAAAAAAATTTCCGTAAAATACTATTTCCCAATAGAACTGAATTTCCCAAAATTGCCGTTGGCAGCAATTTGCAAAAGATCAAAGTTTGAACCAATTGTCAATAACAATACTTGGAAAGAGCAATGACCAATTCCAAAATTCAATCTGTATCGATAAAGTATGGCAAAGTTTAGAATGTTCTTCTCCGTTTTCGTTTCAGTTCCTGCCGGAAGGTACCGCTGTGATACGTTTGTCATTTGTGATAGACAGTTTGGAAAATATTTTTGATGGAGAGGAATCTGTTTCCTCAACTGAACAGAAGAAAGCTCGACTCTTATTTGTCCAGGAAATAAAATGTTTATCTGACGAGGCTAAAAGGGAGTCTCTAGTGGCGACCTTAACTGAGTCAGAGTCCATGATCCAAACTGAAGAACTACTAACTAGAACCAAAACACTTATAACTGTGTTGCAAACAGACCACATTTAGGTTTAACCCTTTAACTCCCTGATCAAATTTGTCATTCTCCTTCCTGTCAACCATACAATTCTTATTATGTTAGCTCAGAGAATTTAGTATTGGATCAACTTGTTACCCCCAAATTGATATTTTTCTTTATTCTCATCTTTTATCTAGTTGATATTGTATTGATATTGTAAGGAGAAATTCTGTCTTGGTCACTCATGGGAGTTAAAGGGTTAAGAGGATCACTACAAACCTCTTAATAAGATTATAACCTACGCACTGATACCCAAAATCCGGAGCTTACCAGCGAATTGTGTACGATATATCGAATAGTGATATTGAAAGAGAGAACTAGAGGGCTTCACTGAGCACCTTGGCAGGTTGGCTCTCTCTTTTAATGTTACTGTTGGAACTACTAGATTAGATAGACCTCTGATTTTGATTTGACGAGAATAATATTTGAAATTGAGATTTGACGTAACAGTGAAATGACTATTTCTTGTCACGAATTTATGTCTATTTTTATCCTGTGAGAAGGTTTGAAGCTGGAAAACATAAATTGAAGTTATTATTGAAGATTATTATCATCGTCCTTGCTGTCATCATCATCGCCGACTCCATATGATGATCATCATCATCATCATTATTATTACTATTATTATTGACATCATCAATGTGAATCATAGTCATAACATAAGTATTAGCATAGATACTATCATTAGTGTTACAGCTATCATCATCATTAACATAATTGTTATCATCGTTACTAATTTTGTTTTGTTTACTTTTCTATAGACATATCACATAATCTCTACAATTTCGTATAACCTTACCTTCGTTGGTAAAGATTATTGAAGATAGCTTACACTTAAAGAAAGGTTGTTTTTAAATTGTTTTAAGACAAGCTGTTGCAATAGCCAAAACACCAGCGCGTGCGCAGGCAAAGCTACCATGTTAAAGCAAGTCGCTGGTGGCTATCTAATTTGTCAAGGTGTATCTATCATAAAAGCTGTAGTTATATGCATTACACGACTGTCTCCTTTTGTGGAAGCTCTTCTCTATCTCCGGAAGAAATATATTGTAGGCTCTCTCTTCTGCTGGAGCCCACGCCCGTAAAGACTATAAGACCTAAACGTTCTTGATCGGCCGAATAATTGTTCCCGCGGTTGCACGAGTCCTGCGTGCAGTCGTTTTTTTTAATTTTCATTTTTGGAAGAGGGGACACCATGGTTTCTCGTCCATTTTTCCATTCCTGATGAAGAAGTGGTCCGCTTTCATTCTTTTTCACACTAGTTTCTGTCTCAAAAGTCGAAGGTTTCCTTAAAAGGTATCTACTCTTCAGGCAAGTGCATTTGAACAAAAAATTGAAAACGTCCTTGAACTCCTTGTTCAATGTTCCGTATGCAATCGCATTGAGCGCACTGTTTGCTATTGGAAAGATGTTGGCTATTAAGTTTGCCATCTCTCTGTAACTCGCTTCGGTCAAATTCCCGTATCTCGACCAGAACGTGTACACCACGTGCTGAGGCAGCATACAAATGGCGTAGAGCAACACGAGTGCAATGAGCATGTTTCTTATCCGTTGTGTTTGTTTGGCTCTTCGTTGAATGGCCTTCCGAAAGACCTCGCTTTGAGCGCACGTCTCCATAGCAACTGGGAGTGCGTTTTTCCTTAAAGTATAGGCCGTTATGCCCGCCAAGATCGCAATGATACTCAAGGGCAACAGATACTGAATGCAAAACATTGATATCCAGTAGATTTCTTGAAACATTGGCGATGTCCAATACTCTGCGCAGTACTTTATCCCAGGCTGAGGCGAAACGAATTTGGTGACAAATAGAAGAGGTAAGGCGGTTACAGCCGATGCAACCCAAATGACAGCTATTATCAACATTACCCGCCTCCTGGATAGCCTAGACTTGACTGGAAATACAATCGCGCGGTATCGGTCAGCGGTGATGGCCAGTAAAGTACCGATGGACACAGACAGTGACAAGGGAAGTATTATGTAAGCAAGATAGCACATAAAACTTCCAAGAACCCATTGATAGCAGTTTTCAAAAAAAATCATTTGCGTTGGAACGTAGACGAGTACGAGAATTAGATCGTGGAACGCAAGATTGAATGTAAATATGTTACAGCTGGTTTGAGTCCCTTTTCGTTTGACAATCGCTATGCAGACAACTGCATTTCCGAACAAACCAAGGATGAATATGATTGAATAAATTAGTCGCAAAGTCCATTTTAGGTACGCAGACCCGCATTCCGATTCGAATGAGGTAGTGTTGTTCATCATCGTGTCTCAGTACGGTTAGCGTGTAGCTAGCCTGATTGGGCGACAAATAGTCCGGAAAATCATCGGCTGTCTATCACTGTTCTGACTGAGGTTCTTCTTTCCAATCTAAAGGGTAAAAAGGTGAAAAACACATGGATCTTCGTTCTGCTGTGAGTAGCCCACATGCATGCGTGGAGCAACAATTATCGTTGATATGTATCTTTCTTTCAGTTTAGTTATACATATTCGCCTTTCTGTGCTCCTCCCCACCTCAACGTCTTTACGGACTAAAGAAGAATTTCTTGGTCCGCATTTTTCTGAAGTTTTTGCATCGAAGTGGGAGTTAGAGATGACGGATCGACTGTATTTCTCGAAAAATACACTGGCGTCTTGTCGCAGCACAGAATAATAAGTTGAGCGCTGGGAATGAGGAAAAAGTAATTTTGCCTCGTAACACAGTAGGCTCTCGAAATGTCGCGACAAATCCCTGAAAGGCTTATGCTATGAAAGGTAACACTGCAAAACCATTATACAAAGTAAAAAAATTGGTACTCTCAAATTTCGTCCTGTTGTTGAGGGTTTATGAGGCATTAAGATGTACCTCACTTTGTACGCTTTGTTTCCAACCCGTTTGTTGACAAACTCACTTTATGCTTCTCTCAATGGAGGCGAAAATAAAGCTAATAAGGTTTATGCAAACCGTATTTACCGCGTAATCGTTTAACGCTAACTTTTCAAAATTACTATCGAAAAATGTTCAATCTTATACCAGAAAACAAGATCTTGAATTAAACTCCCTAAGATATTCTGTTGTTCGGCAGCATATTTTCCAGGTATCCAGTATCAGTCCAGGAGCTTTAACTCATCCTCATCACTCCCTTGTACATTATGATCCTCTCAGATTTGCTCGACTAAAACTCCCTTCTTTGTGGTAAATTACACGTGAAACGTAACTTTATCGCAACGCTTTGTTATTGCAAACTTGTAAATCGATCAAAAATACGAATCTCATTGTTTTTCGTCAATCAACGTGGTTGTTAAACAGGGATCAATTCGTTGATAACCATATGTTGTCGGGGAGATCTTTCCGTTCTTTGCATATTTATCACTTAAAGTTATTGATTACAAGCTGTTAGATAAAGTGTATTTTTCATTGACGAGGACAGTGAGAAACAATTTCTTCTTGAGGTTCGGTTGTCATTTTACATAACAAACCTGTCATGATCAATGATTTTTGCCACTTCATCTTAACTTGCTTGCTAACTAATCAATCGTGGCGCGGCCGATTCTGTCCTTAGTTATTGTAGAAAATGGAGGGGAAAGAATATGGAGAAAGACTAACCTTTCTACTGGAGAATGCTTGCAGGGGGTCAGCTAACGAAAACTGAAGAAAACTCATTAATGAATAAGAGCTCTCTGTTGTGTCTATGGTGATTTTTTAATAGCTTTTTGTGAAAGAAAGTTAAAATTATTTGCTTTATAGAGACTTTGTCATAGTTTGCAAAATCGATCGATGAGAACCTACCAACCAGATCGTTTCCCTTTTAAGGCTATGTAGGTAATTGTCAATTAATTTGAGTCATAGAAAGTCGATTGTGTTGCCTCCGTGCATTACATTCGGGGACGAAATAGGGACATGAAAGTTCAAGCAATCTTTTTTCATGCAAATTATGTCTCCTTGTGATTACATGAATATGTATAAATGTCAGCACTAATTGAAGTTTCTACTCTTCGGCTTCACTTAAAAAGTAGTGGATATTTGGGTCATAAATAAATGTGAACGTCACATTCATTGCACCCTTCTTTGGTAGTCATAGTAAAAGAAGGCGCTGAACGGTCCCCCAAAATTTTCCACCTACGTTACATGGCAATTCATCGTTTCAAGAAAAACATGACTTGGAGCGGTGGGAAGTGATAGCTTATCTAAATTTTCGGTACCTGTTTTACACAGAACCGACAAAAATATGAAAATTTTTAAATTTTTTTCGGTTTTGTTCGACGACTTATAATTTCATTTCAGCGAAACTTATGACAAGAACCCTGTCACAGAGTTGTCTCAGCACAGATTCGAGAACAGCATAGGTCTTAATTCTTATTTTGTTTTTATCCTCGGCTGTTGCACCTGTCAATGAAAACACCGTGCTTATTAAACACAGTGTTTTTATTTAAGTCACAATCAACTTGGTCTATTTTAATTCTCAAATCTGATTGGTTCGGTCCAATTCGTCATATCCACCTAGTAAGAACTACGGGCGCTTGAATGAAAACTTATCTTTTAGATTCTGTTTGTAAATAATGAACCACAAATATAATTCTATGGCCAGTGTTACTGTCCTTTATATAACTGCTGATAGAAAAAAAAATGTCTATTTTACAATATCTTTTTTCTTGATGAAAGAAAATATTGAAAACAATTCTCTGAGTTCAGGTTTCAAAGTGTCTCGCTAATATGGCAATTAGGCTACGGAGCTAGATCTATCGATCCTAATATCAATTGCTCTTGGCGAATGGTTTGGTTTTGATTAAAAACATCTATACGCATCCCAGGGAAGGCAGGAGCGAGCGAATTTGCGCCTTTTTGACGACCATCTAATACCCAACTAATGTAAAGTATAATGAAACATTTGAATCGTACCTTTTCAATAGAATTTAAACGCTTTATCTTCCGGCACAATTAGATTCCTACTTGGGTCGCATTACAAAAGCTACAGGGAAGACTTGAAGAGATTCTAATTTTAACCCGTATCGTAATAAGTATGCAAAATTAAAAAAACTCCCTACGACATGTCAACCTGTCAATGTTTGAAGTTTAAGATTGATAGCTCAAGCTGATGATACACACAAAAAAGCTTAGTAATCGTTAACCTACAAGTGTTTTTCAAGTTAGCCAGCGGAAGCTGTAAATTTCCCATCTTATTGCAAGGCACCTCAATGTCTTAGTCCGGGTACGGATGACGATTTCATCGAAAATTTGTACCTTTTTTCAAACCAGTTTTGAGAAATAAGTGATTACTGTCAGCCGTGACAGGTTTCATCAAAGGAACTTAATACCTGTATTAAATTTCAGGTGAATGTTCATGAAAAGCGTTGCTTTGACACTCTCAAATAAGAACGTTAAGTATCGGGATTTTCAATCTCTTGTTGGACAAAATTTACGATAATGAGTTTCATTTCTTGCCGCGAGATAACAAGTGTGTTTTCGTTGCGGGGTGTTAAGAACTTAAGGATATCATATTTCTTTGAATGAAATAAATTGCAGCTTTTGTTTTGGACCGAGCAGATGTTCACAGATTCTTAACGAAAAGTTTACATCCTCGTTTCACTTTCGTAGAGTAAAATGATATGCAACCAGTGCGGGTTGTCTTGGTTTGGTAAATAACTAACAAAGCTTGTCAAGTTTCTGTGGCTAGACAGCTGCGTGGACGCTAAACTAAAATGTGAATTGAAACTACAGGGGATTTAAAAAAACACACAGCGTAGATCTGTGTTTATAGGCAACATGCTGGTTTAGTGTTGGGAAGGAATGATTGTGCCTCAGGGTATACCAGAGCAGGAATATGGGAGTTAAATTCTTTTTTTTAGGCTAGAGAACTAGGTATTCAAGTAATTAGCTGGGGAAGCCACTGTGGTCAGTTTTCTATCTTTGTTTTCAAATTTGAATTTACCTTTCATCCGCCGTGCAGAAAAGGTTTCCATGCTAATACCTGTTTAGAGTCTGGATAAAAATTCGCCCAAGCCATACATACGTCTTGTTCTCACAATTAGACTGAATTCCTCTTGCGGTCTGCGTTCTTCTGGCCCAAATAAGAAAGACAATTCCAGCATTTCAAATCAATCCTCGCAATATTCTCATCTTTTAATTAAAATTCCTTTCTCTTCATTGGCTGGCGATAAATGTCAAACTTAACACTTTATCACTTAGGCTTGTCTTTCATTCTCATCAAGGTAAACATGACAGGAAGCAATAGTTCTGCCACGACCCTTCTCGTTTGACGCAGACTAATTAAAACATTTACGACACTAAAATTACTACAATTCCAAATCACTGAGGCAAATTAATTTTAATTGGCTCTGAATGGAAAGTGTTTGTGTCATGTTTTCTCATGTTGTTATAGGGTATCTTGGAAGTGCCAAGACGAATTGGCGTTGGGATTTTTTTGTGGTTAATAACGATGCGTATAGATTATCAGAGGAAATGGTAATGGCAGATGATTGGATAGTAGTTTTGGTTCGATTTATGCAATTGCTTAAAACCAATGCAAGCAACGGACGTTTTTTTTCTATTGTTATTGCAAAGTTTGTACTCTTGTCCGATGAGAACGACGAAATGGAATTGGTTGAAACGAATGTGGTGTTTTCTCGACCAGGCGAAAAGACCATTTTAATGGTTTTCCCTCCTTCATTTAACCTTCGGGGCTCCCAGTGATCGCTAATGATATTGGATATCGTGATAAACTACCTAAGGGACAACCTTTATATCAAACAATCAATGGTTAATAATTGACAATTAGTATAATAAACGATTACAGAACCTGCTTCCGTACCTTTAAGGTTTACCTCAGCAAATTATTTTTGTATCCGTTCATAACTTGAAATAGTCGTTCTTGACTTGATTTTCTCTCTCAATTTCATATGAACCGACAGTACTGTTACACGAAACAATAAGAGGCATTGGAGGCTTTTGTATTTCAATACAGGGCATCAAGTTCTGAGGCCGACGCCTAAAGCACCACCTATTTCTTTTTGCCCTTATTAACATATGTTTCATTTACGGTCTCCGCACGATTTGGCTTCATATTGCAATTCAAGCTCATTATGGTCACTGAGCGATTTCTCAAACTAAGACAACGAAAGCAATACCATTAACAATTGGCTTTATTTCAACCATTTGCAGCTGTTCCACCATCTAGGAAAATATTCGTGCTCAGCACTGTAAGAGAAAATCACTAAGCTAAGTTATAATGACAAATCCTTCTACCACAAGAAAATGAGAAAACTTTGTTGCTAATAAGCCTTTAGCCTTGAGAAAATGAACAACATTTAGTACCGAAATCAAAACTCAGTTATCAGGATATCTCATCTACCTCCATGACTTTTAACTTTGGCAGTTGAACTCTAGAGACTTGTTTTCAACTTTAGGAAGGACATACTGTGTAATAAGAAATGTTTTGACTTACTATGCAAATGCATCTAAACTTTGCATAAATTGTCTCACTTAGTGATGTGTTCGGGGTCCAAAGATATAACATTAAAATTTGAAGTTTTCATTCAATCTGTACACATTGACTGCAGATAACGACAGCAGCTGGTAACCGATAGACACACTTTTTGAACTCTTTTCCTCAGCGGTAAGTTATTTCTATTCATCACAGTTATTTTACCTTAGTAAAGCTCTCTTATGTAGGTATAATCCCTAACGCAGCTGAAAAGATTTGCTTAATCTTGGCTTTCGTACTAAATTTCAATTAAAATCGAATTAAGATCGATCAAGTGATATATCACTCAACAAAACTAAATGCTAAAATTTATTGTTCGGCTTATATTGAGTTCCAAGAAAAATCTAGTGGTCGATACGCATAAGACCTTGATAAATCTGATTACCATGGTAATTTTTCGATTTATGTTCCAGATATGAAATGGAAACCATAGGTTTTCATTTTGCTAAAGAACACTTTTACTTCCTTCGAACTTTTTCAATAACTCAGCCAATGTATGTCAAATCACCTTTAGGGAGATGACTGAATTGCCTTTCTCTTCGATAATATCCTCGCCATATTGATCTTCATTCCATCTGAAGCAAATTGTAGACTTGTAATTCCATTTACGTTTCAAAAGGCCCTTGAAAACCATTTTGAACTCCTTATTCAATGTCCCATATGCGATGGGATTTAACGCACAGTTTGCCATGGGGAATACATTCGAAAACCTGAATATATACATTTTGAATTCCATCTGGTTAAGATTTCCAAATTCCATCCAAAAATACACAACATGCTGGGGCAGCATACAAATGGCGTAAATAATTACGAGTGCGAAAAGCATTTTGGTTATTTTAGTACCTTGCTGCATTCGCTTTCGCACAGCCTTTGTGATGACAAGAGATTCCCTTTTTGTATTAAACAGGACGTCACTTCTAAGTTTACAAGCAGCAATGGTCGATAGAACGCATATAAAAACAAGAGGTGTAATGTACTGAAGAAAAAAAATAGAGATCCAATAAACATTATCAATTACTGAATCTTCGGGCCAGCCTGGCTCTGAGCAGTACACCTGTCCACTACTACTCCTTTCTTCTCCCGCTACAAAAATTATTGGCAAAGCTATGACCAGAGACGTGACCCAAATGCCAGTGATAATCCCCTGAATTCCTCTCTCTGTCAGTTTTGCCGTCAGTGGGGAAGTTATAGCGCGGTAACGGTTAACTGTTATGGCCAGTAAAGAACCAATAGAGGCCGACAGACATAGTGGAATGATGATATAGGCAATCCGACACATAATGTCTCCCAAGGCCCAGTTGTGTTCATTCTCGAAAGCGGTCATTTGTGTTGGGACGTAAATCGTTACAACGATAAGGTCAGCACAACCAAGATTGAAAGTAAAAAGGTTGTTACTCGTTCGAAGACGCTTGCGTTTCAACACCGCAGCACACACGATCACATTACCAGCAATGCCCACGACAAACACAAAGATGTATAAAAGGCGTAACGTCCATTTTAGCGGAGCAGGCTCAGGAGAAATAGCCGTTGCGTTAGCCTCTAGCATTCCTTGTCCGCGGAATTTTAACGGTTTTCGCTGATATTCTTTAGTAAAAACAAGCGTTCCGCATTCGGTAACATTAACAAGGAAAGGCTTTTTTTTTCAAACACTGCCGCGGCAGTCGCAAATATAAGGCTTTATCTTTTATTTCATCCATAATAAAAAATGTTTTTCATGGTGTATTTTCTATTCTTGAAACAAGAATAATTAACCTTAAATCAGTGGGAGGTTTTCAGAGGAACTGTTTCGGTCCATTAAAATATAGTTGAAAGCCTGACTCGATCATTCAATGAAATTTCATAGCAGCCGTTTCACCTATAACAGAGACAAAATAATTTTCAGCTATTTTTCCTGTGTGAACTGGAACTTATTAAAATAAATATATTCATATATGTTTCATTCAATTTAATTTAAAGGCGTTCAATAGGATATGTACGTTTTCAAGCCATGGCGATGTTTAGATAAGTTCATTACTGAGCAGAGAAAAATAATTTTAATTTTCTTTTTTTGTCATTTGTGTAGCATCCCAGAGAGATTTTAATTTAAGAATTCGGTTCCATAGTTTTATGTCTGTGGGTATCTTGAGAAATAAACATGTGGTTTGAGGAAAACAGAGCTAATCATTTGCTTTTGAGCGCAAATAAATGTCGATTGCAGAAATTGGTAATTTCACGTTCTCGCCGATAACTAGATTTCATTATTATCCCATTTACAGCTTGCAAAGGTTACGTTCTCGTCATACATAAACGAATGATAATCGTATAATGTTATTGTCGTACTTTACGAACGCAAAAACTGTGTTGGAGCAAATCACTGTAATGAAAGTAAGATGTTATCTTACTCGCATGTCTGGTGAAAAGCATTCTGAATTCTTCGTAAGAAGACGATGGAGCAAACGTACTCTGCAAGTTTTGGTATCTAGTCAAGAAAAAAATCAGCGTGATCTTATTTGAACGAACACACCTCTATAGATGCCACTAAATATAATCAGTGTGGCTTCATCAAAACCGACGGGTACGACTGTTACCTTTGGGCAACAGATCGATAATGCAAATGAGCTCTTTCTACTGTTTCAGAGCTCAACTGTAATCATTTTTTCCTTAAAGAAACAGCTGCACAACGCTGCAAATTTATTCAAATGGTCCCCCACGTTTTTACAGTTGCCATTTTTTCGCGTTGCACTCGATGGAAAAAAAATTGAAATGGAAAATCATAAAAAGTGATATGGAGCCAAACCTGACACGATTGAAGCGATGAAAAGATACTTTAACTAGGGGGACAGATGCTACACGAACGCCCTTCACCGAAGCAGAATAAAATTGAATTTGTAAACTTCGCGATTTCATAAATTTGATTGCACCTAAATCAAGAATCTTATCTCTTCCAAAATTTAATTCATCGTTTGAGAGTTAAGAGTGTATCGGTTGTTTCTTAAAAGGCCCAGCAGAGCTTACGCGAAGTGTGTTTCCTCGCAGAAATGAACTACACAACGTCCTTTCACTAAACTATGGCAATAATCTTAAGAGAAAAAAACAGCCATCGTTTGAAGGTTGAGCGAATAATAAATGTTTACTTTTTTCCATGAGGAAATGATCCCAATAGTCCATTTAGTAGTGCGCGAAAATGACACATACCATCCAATTCCAAAGGCATAAGGCGAAAACTAGCTGATTACAATGCACTATACCAGATCTGTGCGCTGTCCTATTAGAGCTCAAATCGGACCAGTGATAGCCAATCGACTTCGAGATTTTGTTATTAGTAGTTTTCATTAATCGCTACGCGCATGTGGAAACCACCACACAAAATATAACTTTCTTTGAATAATTGCGGGAGTAAAAGTAAGTAGAATTATTGGAGTAGAATCACTTAAAGTCAACCTCGTTCTAACGTAGGCAATAAATAAAGAATAAACAATATACGATTGCCAGTTCACCGCCAGTCTGCAAGGGGTAAAGTTTCGATGACCTCGTTCCTTCAATAGAATTTCTAGATACAATAATTAAAATTTCTTTTATTACTATCAGTGAAGCAGAGAAAATAAATTAAACTGTGCTGTTAATCATTAAATTCGCATTTTGTAATAATCGTCGCACTTTGTTATAATTGTCACTCTTTGTAATAAAATTGTCGCACTTTGCAAGACCTATCGCACTTTGTTATTAAAAGGCTTACGCACTTAGTGTTAACAGACCGGTACGTGCTTTGTAACAAAATAAGTTGTCGCATTTTATAACAACACTTGTCGCACTTTGTATTAAGCTTGGTATGGATGATCGCAGGGCAAGTAGACCCAATGACAGCTGTTATTCCTGTCAATAATAGTGATAAAAATATCAACAATAATAATAGTGATATTCGAGCTGTAACTTACAAAGCTGAAAACTATTACGTGGCTGTGAAAGGAAGCAGGGAAGTGGTGAGTGCGACAGAGGACAAGCGTGGACACAGGCTAATGCCTTCCCTTCCCGCTGATCAGACTCACATCCTGTCCACTGAATATGTAAGATGTGCGTGCATGAAACCGATTGGACCAAATTAAGCTATTCATTGCATTACTGCGTAAGGAATTTTGGTCAACATGATGAAGGCGAATCATCATCCGCTAAATTCCAAAGTCACTAATACACTTCACACAAGAAAATTATCGAATTCTGGAAAACATGAATGCAACACAATCTCTTTTTACAACACGCTGATTAGACGGAAATTTGGTATTCTCTTATCCGATATAGGGCGGGAATGGTCCGAGGCCAAGGTTAATCGGAAAAAGTAATCTTTTAAAGCAGATAGTTCATATAATGCATAATAGGTTTGCAGAAGTCATGTTTGAAGTCGTCACGTCTCAAGCACAATTTGTGAAAAAAAAAATCGAAATGAATAAAAGTATCTAATAACAAGACAATTGGCAGGTTGAAATTTTAGCATGATAAACTTGAGTATTCGATGTATATTTGACGAAGATCGAACGAACTACATCTACGTGTAGGTTAGCAAGAACCCAAAATACTTGATGTAATCGGCAAGAGGCTGCGTTGTGCATAATGAATACATTAAACGATTTTCTTTTTCATGTGTTTCAACATAATAATAAAAAGAACGCAATAGTTGGCTTATTGTTGGGGAAAAAACTCTTAGGGCGCTCCCAGCAGATAAATTAAAATCTATGGCACCAAAAGAAGGGTAAGGTGACAGATAAGAGGAGGTAGTTATTCAGTTAATGAAAGAAGAACTTCTACAATCTCCTACTAGGCTATAATTGACTTCATTTCCATTGTATGTCAGTCAATATTTTGTGATAGACATGGAAATACCGTTTATATCTTGGCAGATGGCTGGAACACATGCGGTTTATTTGGCTCCTTACGTTTAACTATTCACTCACGCCAACAAGCAACATGGAAACAAGAGGCAAGTCTAGACACCAATGTTTTAAACTTTTACTTAAATGGCAATAATTTACTCTTGCTTGATAATTTTACTTCGTAACCTGATGAGTCTCATCATTATAGCTTTTTAGAAGGAAGCGCAAATGGAGTTGAAGTTCCTCAATTCAAATTTGCACACAAGTCAGACATTCAGTTCTTCTTTTATCATCAGCAGATGACGAAAACGGTACTTTAAGTATCATAAATTTGTCAAGTGTATCCTAGTTATAACCTTAATTCGAGCTGATTGTTCTTCCGATCAGTACGATTCTTAAGGCTTCCTCAGGTTTCATGTAAATTATGTATGCACAAAAGTCAACACATCTAGTTTCAATTTTCAATCATCAGCGTGGGTTGTCATTCTGATTAACTTTCCTTCCCACACGCTAAATTAAAGTTAGCGAATGATTTACTCTCTTTGTTAGCATTGATTTACAACTGAGAGATATCAGTATTTCATTTCGACATATTATACAGCCCACGTCAGTCACTGTTTTTAACAATTATTCACGGAGGTGGAGGTAAATATCCACCACCTCTACCGACACTGAGGTAAATAATTGTTTTAGTCTATACCACACAGTAACCCCAAACAATTCGACTGCTCGGATGTGAATAGTAATTGCTAATCACTTCGAACTAGCGCACGAAAAGCGCTATTCAACTGTGTGGTATATGCTAAATAACAATATGGTCAATAATGTGTTTATACTCCGTGCATATAAACGATTTCTTCGCCACTGATATCAGCCCAGAGGTAACAAAGAAAATAACCCTTTTCATAAAAAAACTAAAAGTTAACAGTGAAGGGATATCTTTTCATCTTTTGTTCCAAAATGATTGATTCGTAACTTCTCCTCTCAATATCAATGCATTATTCGGCAGGACAGTTGATGAGAATACAAACGAACATATCAGCTCATAATATATTATCTTGACTATGAATTTGCAAAGAAACTGAGTGGCAGCCAGAATGAGACTGAATGAATGGCCTGATCTTTCGAGTCACTTATTAGGACTTTCAACGCCGGGCACGGTACTGGACCGGTTACTTACTGATTGTTTTTGTAGTTCATCAGTCTTCTTAAGAATAACTGAATATGACATGCTAGTAAAAATCAAACAGGGCGTTATCGTCGGCTTGAAAATCGAAAATTAAAATTGCCAACTTCTGAGCTGATAGCTTTCTTTTTTCGTAATTATTGAGCTTCCGCGATACAGTTAATCGAGAGCAGATGGACAAGTAAATTAACGGCTCTGCTTAATTATAAACAAACTTCCATATGGCGCGGCTTCTTAAGTAAGGCTTGTATTGGTCGTATTATCTTTTATGTCAATTAACCACAGTATGCAACATCCGTGCTGTTGTGCAAAAGAAAGAGTTCGGAAATTAAAAGAGGCCACCTTCAAAAAGTGTTTTTCGGCGGTGATGTCGCCTGAACAGATAGGAGTTAAAAAAAACTAACTAGGTGTTTTTATAAGAGAAACAGCTTTTTTAAGAGAATAAAAGCAAAAAAGGGGAGAGAGATGAAATGGCATCAAAAAAAATTCGAAGGGCTGACCATCATATGTGCACTT